CTATTCAAGCAATGAAGAAAAAAATATAAAACCACAATTCTATATAGAGCCTTAATTTTGTATTTATAAAAAAGACCTAAATATATCATATCAGGTTTTGGAAGGAAGGACTTTGCATTAATACTCTCATTTGGCATTTAAAAAATGTAAGAGGAGATAATAATAGTAATAATAATAGTATTAGTATTAGTAATAGTAATAGCAATAATAATAAAAATAACAATGATAATAATAAAAATAATAATAACAATAATGACAATATTAATAATAATAATAATAATAATAATAATAATAATAATAATGATAATAATAATAATAACAACAATAATAAAGATGATGAGAACATTCATAAGATATCGATAAAAGTAAAAACATACCCACAGGGAAAGATAAATTAACACCGATAACTTCTCAAACGGGGCCACATGGCAATTCAAAACGGCTCCTCGAACAAATATAAGCCTCAAAATATAACAAGAAATTCCATTAGCATTTTCTCAGCAAATCTTGAAGAAGTAGCCAGACTGCACTTGAAGGACGAACAAGCCATTTTCAAATCATTATATTATCTCTAATAATGAAGACGGTTCACTTAGCTGGAATAAGAGAGCCGGAAAAACAGGAACAGCAGAGAGGGAATAATCGTGAGAGAAAGATGATCATAATAACAAAATAAAGGAAAACAACCACTATTCTTGATTAATTACTCGAATTTACGCTGGAACTGGCAGGGCTATCCATCTTAAACAATTTCAACTTCTTAAAAAAACGGCTCACTTCGTCCTTAGGGTAAGGCTTGGTCACGAGACAAGTGGGCGTGTCCTCTGGCTGTTCTATCCAGAGTTTGTGGTCGATCACCGCCTCCTGAAGTTTTTCTGAAAGGTTTCGGATTTTCGTCTCGCTCTCGATCCCTAGAACAACCTGAAATGGCCAGAAGGATGGGATTAAAGTTCAGTTAATGACTGAGCTGAGGTGGAGGCAGTTTGAAAAAATACAACTCTCTTGTTAGATGATGTTGTCTTCCTTTATTTCTTCCCGGTGTGATGACACTTGACAAAGCAAGAGATATGCAATAAAATTACATTGTAATGAAACATACTTCTATTTACCAACAAAATTTTTAATTTTGCCATCATTCTACCAATATTGAGAGAGAGAGAGAGAGAGAGAGAGAGAGAGAGAGAGAGAGAGAGAGAGAGAGAGAGAGAGAGAGAGAGAGAAAGAGAGACAGAGACAGAGAGAGAGAGAGAGAGAGAGAGAGAGAGAGAGAGAGAGGGAGAGGGAGAGAGAGAGAGAGAGGGAGAGGGAGAGGGAGAGGGAGAGGGAGAGGGAGAGGGAGAGAGAGAGAGAGAGAGAGAGAGAGAGAGAGAGAGAGAGAGAGAGAGAGAGAGAGAGAGAGAGAGAGAGAGAGAGAGAGAGAGAGACAGAGAGACAGAAAGACAGACAGACTGCATGTGCGCATGTACTATACCAAATTTCACAGATATTTCACACAGACATCAAATACAATTAATAATAAATAAGATGGGCACACATCAAATAACTCATGGCCTCAATCTACAGATTCTATAGACTGCTAGGCACAGTTGGGGTCCAAATCACTCACAGCACCAAAGAGGCATTATATTCACTGTCCGGGTGCCTTAGTCCACCGAGCCACAGCGCACACACATACAAAACAACGCACTCCTAACCTTGTGCATATTATCGAGATCCGCCAGGTACCGCTGCATGTTTTGGTCTTCCCGGTAGAGATGAGCAACAGCTGTGGATGCGTGGCAGGCCTGGGCAATGACCGCCCCCACAGGCCAGGCTAGATTTGTCATGAGGTCTGACCGCACCACCACATACTGGACCAATCCTAAGGCAGCTCCCGACATGGTCTTCTGTATCTGTGGAAGGAGTAAAGCTTGAGTAGAGCTGGCTAAAAAGAATAATAGAAAAAAAGGAAAAAAGAGAGGAACAATGGAACAGCAGACTGTGCCTGAAGAAGAAGAAGAAGAAGAAGAAGAAGAAGAAGAAGAGGAAGGAGAGGAAAAAGTAGTTGTGGTAGTAATTTGCTTTATACTTTCCTTTTCTTTTCTTCTTATGGCTATGTTGTACTTACCATCAGCAGTGTTTATTACAATATGAGTTTACCACATCTCTCCTTAACTCACAACCTGTTATCCTGCACAAAATATTCTAAATAATGCTCAAAATCCTTATACCATGTATTATGCACTAAGCAGAAATTCAAAAGCCATCTATCTGAAAGAAATGTAAACCAATTCAAAAATAACACCAAGAATCCAAGACTATCAACTTAAGATAACCTTCACCTGGAACTCAATTCTAATATGAGCACATGTCATCTGGTACTTGACATGACAGAAGGAGAATGCCCATGACCAGGCAAAGGAGACAAACAAGACCCAAGGCAAGTCACTGAAAATGCAACTTGTCTGAGAAACATACTAGAACTTGTCTTCCTCGATATAAGAGCTATACTACACAGATACAAAGTTATCAAAGGCATCATTTCAAACCACAGTCTAGTGGAAATAATAGTAATTAACCATACCCAACAGACTGAAAGAATAACTACAACTAATGAGAAAAGATTTGAAATATCTAAATTTCACATAAGAACAAATGAAGTGGAATGATACCAATACCTTACTGAAAGTAAAAAAAAACATGAGTAAATTAACTTAACAGAACCTGAAATTTGAGATAAATTTGTCCCATACTAAAAATAACAATGCATAAAAGGCAGAATCCACAAATCTACATATATGCAACAAGAAAAACAAAAACTAAGGCAAGGATAGGGTCCTTAGAACAACAAGGAAAATTATAGAAAATCCTTTGAATATTGCAAATCATCTTGAGACACAATACAGAATTGTCTATAAAGTATCCTACTTGAAAAGAAAGTGTTGCCACCAAAAACCTTCTTTAATGAAAGTAATAAAAAAAGGATAAGATAATCTGGAAACTTTAAAATTACACAAACACATCATCAAAACTGTCAGAAATATGAGGGGGACTGAATTTCAAGGAATAGACAAAATCCCAGGAATCCTACTGAAGAACAGAAAGAAGCACTTGCCATGCAGTTGCAACTATCCTATTTGGAGTTCTGTGGATAAAGAGAAGATTCTTTCTTGAAGTAAATAGAGAAAGGTTTCCCCAATATTCAAGGGAGGTACAAGGGAGGTCTTCCATCAACAACAGACCAGTGTTCCTGACATTAACCACTAGTATAAAGATATCATTCCAGCACTAGAAGTAGATGGAAATTCAACTCAGGACATCACTGATCTAGCCAAAGCATGTCCCTTCCATTCCAGCTTCTTTACCCCTGTACAAGCCTTCTACAAAAAGTAAAGAATGTGAACAAGGTTGGTGCAACGTTCCAATAACTGGATTTCGCACAGATGTTACATAAAGTGGATTACAGAGTGCTCCTCCATTAGAGAAGGACACAAGTATAAGCCACACATTGGCCCCATTTTTATACTAAGTTACATAAAGCCAAAATCCATTCATAATGACTTTTTGAGTTATTGTATTTATGCTAAGCTTTCACCTAGAAGAATCTCTTCCATGACAGCCTAACCCCCACAAAATATTTTTGATTCAATAGATTGAGAATCAGACAATGAGCATCTATATGTTGATCAGGAACGGATCCTCAAAATAGATCTAGACAATATCAAATTTAAGAGCAACATTTTAAAATGATGAGCTGTCATACCAGGCAAACCCCGAAAAAGATCACAGAAAATCCCCTATTATCTCCAAAGCAGATTTCAAGGTGGCTACTTTATCAGAACCTGGAACCCTGATCACCTGGAAGTCTCTAGCCCCTAGCTGAATATATTCATCAGAAGTGAACAATGCACATTGTGGTTGATCTACATGAATTATAACAAGTACAAAAAATATTCATCAGGAGACTATTAAAAGGACATAGAAATTTACTGAAAGAGACTGAAAGAGATGAATTTGTACTCCTTGCTAAGACAGAGAAGAGGTACATAATTACATATATTTAAGTATTATCAAAAGGCATAGCTCTAAGCCACCAACACCAGATGGAAGGAACATTTCCGATTAGACAGGATCTGCATCGAGTGGTACCCAGAGACTGCACATTATCACACACGAATGGAGGTGTGTGATAAGGTTAAGAACTTCCAAAACACTGGAACCCAGCTCCCGAACAATTTCCCAAGTGTCATCTAAAGACTTTTTAACTCGGCTCAGGACAAATTTCCGTAACAAATGCCCGTCAAGCTTCCCACCCAACACCCGCCGTCCTGCAGAGAACTTCCATCAAACTCAGTGGCTGACCAGCTCAGGTGCAGGAGGAAGGAAGGCTGCCGCTGACCCCTATGCTGGCCATGGCAATCGCACCACATATCCACGCAAGCCGAAACAAATAAACCAAACCAAATAAACCAAATAAACCCAAAATAAATAAACCAAATAAACCAAACCAAATATACTAAATAAACCCAAAACATATAAACCAAATAAACTTAATAAACCCAAAACATATCAACCAAATAAACCCAAAACAAATAAACGTGTTCTGTGCATTTCACCCTAACAAGAATACCTGTTATCTATGCTTCCCACATATAATAAGAAAAGATAAAAAATATAATATCAATGAAATACAACACCGTACATGAATAAATACAATAAAAGAGACATATTCTCATCAAATAACACACACAGATTATAAAACTTTAAAAAAATAAAAGAGGAAATTCCGCATGCCATATATATCAATATATCAGCCTATAAATAACATCTATTTAATAAACTATTACTTAAAACGAATAAAAAAAGACTTCATCTATTACCTATCTTGTTTATTTCCTCTCTTTTACTATCCCTTCGTTCCTATTTCACCCCCTTTTTTTATATTTATTTCCTCTTCTTTCAATTTTTTGTTTATTTTTTTTCTTCTTCGCCGAAATGTAAACAAAACTTCGGTCGCTTAAACTCCGGGTCCTTTGCGTTCGCCGGGATCTGGTTTTATTGGATACGTTTTAGTATTTAGGGATATATTTGGGGTTTTATTGGATACGTTTTAGTATTAAGGGATATGTCTGTAGTTTTATTGGATATATTTTAGTATTTTAGGGATATATTTGTGATTTTATTGGATACATTTTAGTGTTTAGGGATATATTTGTGGTTTATTGGATATGTTTTAGTATTTCAGGGATATATTTGTGGTTTTATTGGATACGTTTTAGTATTTTAGGGATATGTTTGTGGTTTTATTGGATACATTTTAGTTATTAGGGACATATTTGTGGTTTTATTGGATACATTTTAGTATTTAAGGATATATTTGTGGTTTTACTGGATACATTTTAGTATTTAGAGATATATTTGTGGTTTTATTGGATACATTTTAGTATTTTAGGGATATATTTTGGGTTTTATTGGATACATTTTAGTATTTTAGGGTTATATTTGTGGTTTTATTGGATATATTTTGGTGTTTAAGGATATATTTGTGGTTTTATTGGATACAATTTAGTATTTAGGGATATATGAGGGGTTTTATTGGATACATTTTAGTATTTAGGGATATATTTGTGGTTTTATTGGATACATTTTAGTATTTAGGGATATGTTTGGGGTTTTATTGGATACATTTTAGTATTTAGGGATATATTTGGGGTTTTATTGGATACATTTTAGTATTTAGGGATATATTTGGGGTTTTATTGGATACATTTTAGTATTTAGGGATATATTTGTGGTTTTATTGGATACATTTTAGTATTTAGGGATATATTTGTGGTTTTATTGGATACATTTTAGTATTTAGGGATATATTTGGGGTTTTATTGGATACATTTTAGTATTTAGGGATATATTTGGGGGTTTTATTGGATACATTTTAGTATTTAGGGATATATTTGTGGTTTTATTGGATACATTTTAGTATTTAGGGATATATTTGTGGTTTTATTGGATACATTTTAGTGTTTAGGGATATATTTGTGGTTTTATTGGATACATTTTAGTATTTAGGGATATATTTTGGGTTTTATTGGATACATTTTAGTATTTGAGGGATATATTTTGGGTTTTATTGGATACATTTTAGTATTTAAGGGATATATTTGTGGTTTTGCGGTTTTTATTGTTTTTTTCTGGTTTTTCTTTTTGGTTTTGTATGTATTATATCTATTATATGTTTATATATATATATATATTGTATTTGTTACGTGTCCTTATGTGTTATATTTTTATATCGTATGTTTTCTTATATGTTTTGTGGTTAATAACCAAAGGTTTTGGGGGATGTTTTTGTATGTTGTATTTATCATTATTATTACGAGCGATAAAATTTTCTTATATAATTCTTATTGATTTTTTTTTTTTTTTTTTTTATAAAAGAATATATATATATATATATATATATATATATATATATATATATATATATATATATATATATATGCAAGGTACGGAAAACATGAAAGGTTTATTTGTCAAATATCATTTCCTAGTGTAAGATCTTGGTATTTATTCATTTTCCTTATTTTATAATACCTTCCTTAACAAGCTAACACATACAATTGTTGTTGATTATTTTTATTATTTTTTATTATTTATTTATTTATTATCATTTATTTAATTATATCTTTTATTATTTTTATTGTTCGCAAGTGTGATTGTTGTTCGCAAGTGTGACAGTGTTCGAATTTTTTTCAGGTGACTTTCTTTTTTCCCTTCTGTGTTATATAACCTTTCTGTGATTAGATTTAATTATTAATACGTTTGATGTTTTTTTATATACATTTTATAGAGTATATATCAATGTACTGTACGAAACAAATCATTAGGTGTAAAATAATCGGTCGAAGTTTGAGCCAAAAACCCGAACAAAGCCGCAACAAATACAGAATCCCAATAGACTTTAATCTACATTTTTATCTATGCCAGAATGCAAAAATATAACCAACACTCCACATATAACAATATAACCCTAAAATTATATGCCATAAACCACACCCAATAAATGATCTTTCACCCCAAACCCATAATAATAAAACCCTTAAAAAAAGGCTCATCGGCACCTCGACCGGCCTGCCAGCTGATCTGTGTTTACCTGAAGATTTCGGGTTAATTAGTGAATTAGCGCCTCACCTGCTCGCCTCCCTTCCCCCCCGCGCTGTGAGAGAGATAAGGGAACACCATGCCCCAGGAAGTGAGTAGAAGGGAAGGAGAAAAGGGGACAGAAGGGGAAAGGAGGGAGAAAACATGTGTTATATCACCCACAGCTTGCTTTCGATTTCTTGGGTTATTGTTATTTGCAGTTTTTTTTTTTTTTCTTGTTTTGCTATTCGTTTTGTTTTTTTCTTCTTCTTCTCTTGATTCTTTTCTTTCGATGAAGCCAGGATCAATATCAGGATTTTGTATTTTTATTATTTTCGTCTTTCTCATGTTTTCTCTTTTTTTTGTGAATAATTTTCTCTTTTTTTTTAGAGTTTTTTTTCTGTTATTGTTCCTTTCTCTATTACTATTTGCTCTAAAACGAATATAGATATCAAATGATATTATTTAACGTCAGGAAGACACCGGGAAAGGCCTTTTGAAGCAGAATTAATTTTTTTTCCTCGTAATAATGTATCTTGTATATGATCCATATCCGCTCAAAACCTGTTACGATTTGTGATAAAACGCTTAGTCTTAAGTTTTTGATAAATATTAATACAGGTCTCTTTGCCTTCATCGTTCGGGCTATATTAAGCAAACATCTACCGCGTCTATTCTGTCAAAATCAGGCTCGGAGGAGTTCCCACAATGATGTTAAATCACCAAAAACGTTCACAAGTTCGGTCTTTCCGGAATTTATGCGTGAAGGATTATTGGCTATTAATAAGAGTTGGTTATTTATCTCGAGTGGTAGATGGGAGAGTATCTTTCATTTGCCATAGCTAATATTTATTACATTATTCATTATTGTTTAAATTTCTCATTTGCATGCAATAATGTGCTGTAAATCAATCACCATACTTAGATCTTTATTTTGAACCTAATTCTTTTCATATTCGTATTCATATTCAAGCTTTTTGAAAATTAATTCTAATTATATGTTCTTTTATATACTTTATGTTTACTGTTGAAATAGAAGACCAGTAAGATAAATCTTCGTAATTTATATTTCTCTTACTCTAGAAATGTGATTTTCTGGGTTATAACAGAGTGTGCCAAATATTACTGAAGATGCCCCAGTTTACTCTTGATCCATTTCAGAATGAATTCCCGGCCATGAAAAACGACAGGCTGTTAAAGGCAGCCTGGGGGCAAGAGGTCGACGTCGTCCCTGTGTGGGCGATGAGGCAAGCTGGACGATACCTCCCTGGTATGTGTGTTTTCTCTGTCTGTCTGTCTCTCTGTCTGTCTGTCTCTCTTCTCTATCTCTCTTTCTCTGTCTCTGTCTCTCTGTCTCTGTCTCTCTGTCTCTGTCTCTCTGTCTCTCTTTCTCTGTCTCTCTGTCTCTCTGTCTCTCTGTCTCTCTGTCTCTCTGTCTCTCTCTGTCTCTCTCTCTGTCTCTCTCTCTGTCTCCCTGTCTCTCTCCCTGTCTCTCTCTCTGTCTCTCTCTCTCTCTCTCTCTCTCTCTCTCTCTCTCTCTCTCTCTCTCTCTCTCTCTCTCTCTCTCTCTCTCTCTCTCTCTCTCTCTCCCCCCCTCCCTCCCTCCCTCCCTCCCTCCCCCCCTTCATTTCTTCTCCTCTTTCACTTCTCTCTTCTCTCTCCTTTCTCCTCTCTTCTCTCTCCTCTCTCCTTTCTTCTCTCTCCCCTTTCTCTCCCTCCCCATTCTCTCCCTCTTTTTCTATATCCATCTTTATCTATCTATCTTATCTGGATTTCTCTTTTTGCCATTCATGATTATAGACTGAATTGTACTTAGATGATTTATTAAAGTTGATTTAAAAAAAAGGGATATGGAATTTCATATTTGTTGAACTCTTTTTAATTTCTTTTAATGTCTCAGTAGGACTAAATTTTTTTTTTAGTTAGTATTTTTTCCCATACTATTGCGAGTCATCTTTGCAGAGTTTCGGGAGGAACGCGCAAAATGTGATTTCTTCACCATGTGCCAAACCCCAGTGCTGTCATGCAAGGTGACCCTACAACCCTTGGATAGGTTCCCCTTGGATGCGGCTATTATATTCTCCGATATTCTGGTGATTCCTCAAGCGCTTGGAATGGTGGTTGAGATGAGAACTGGAGAGGTGAGGTGTTTAGGCTGAGTGTGAATTATTTTGTTGTTTCTTTCTGTTATGTCGTGTCTTGTATTGTGTTGTTTTATGAAGCTTGATCATGGGAATATGTATGTACTTATTTTAGATAATATGTAAAATGTTGGTTTTCTGTATTTGGAAGGTATCGTTTCCTTGCATTTTTTTCAGGTAGCTTTATTTATGTAGAATGAATAATTCCTCTTTTTCATTAACTTTGATACTATACTGGAATTTGTATCATCCTATACTTTGCCCAATCCCTGTCGGGCTTGTCTGTAAAAGAAAGTCGACTACTGGCATTCTCTGTTTCTCTTAACAAGCTATTCCATTTGTTTGTGGTCCTTAAGCTGAAAAAAAGAGAAAGAGAAGGAAAAGATAAAAGAAATTCCTGGAAGAGATACTGATTTATCCAATTTTTGTTCATGCAGTCTTTGATGATTTTCATGAAATGAATTAACTGTATCATGTAATGTAAGAATTGGCTGAAGAAAAAAACAGTAGCTTGTAATCATAACTGTATATCATTTGCATTTACATGATTCTGAATGTCAGTTTGTTCTGATATATTTAGCAGATTTACATCATACAGGCCTCATATCTTTCTTCCTTTCCCATAGGGCCCAGTCTTCCCTGCCCCTCTACGCGAGCCCGAGGACCTGGCCAAGCTCGGGTCCCCTGCCGATGTCTGCTCGAAGCTCCAGTATGTGTTTGATGCTCTCACCCTCACCCGG